AAGGGGGGCGGGCACCGAGGTATTCAAGATACTGTAGCATGTGGAACAGTCAATACTGCAGGAGTAACCGAGGTTACAATGGCGCCGAAGCGACAGTTAGCAAGCTAATGGGTAGATATCTAGCAGGTGTACAGTCGAGACTGCAGCAGTAACCGAGGTTACAGCTAGATAGAGTGGAACAGTCTAAACTGCAGAAGTAACCGAGGTTACAATGGCGCCGAAGCGGCAGGTAGCGAAATAGCAGGTTACAGTCGAGACTGCACCAGTAACCGAGGTTACAGCTAGAAACGCCGAAGCAGCAACTAGCATTGGGGTTGGTTGTCGAAACAACAGGTAAGGAAACCGCGGTGCGAGCACGGCGGGCTGTCGAAACTGCGGGCATAGTCTAAACTAGTGGTATGGAAACCGTGGTGTGAGCACGGAGAGCAGTTGAAACTGCTGCTGTCACAGGCGTGAGTAACAGCACGTGTCCAGTGGGGTGGCTGACCGAAGTCATACAATAAGCCATACACAGCAGGTTAGTGCCGTTTACGAGCAGTCGAAACTGCAGACACAGACGGTGTGAGCCGAAGCTACATCACGTGTCCGGGTTGGGTGACCGAAGTCGTAATCAACCGGTTAGTTTCGACTACTGTTGATGTTTACACAAAAAATAAATGTAAAAGAAATACCATGGGATACACCACCCGCTCAATAATTTGGTCCAAAACGGAATTTGTTGGGGAAGAAAGAGAACGAATACCCACACAGCCAGCAGCAGAGCTGCACGGTGCTCACCCCGGAAGGTGAGTGCGGCGACAAGAGATACTGCTACTTGCATGATCAACGGAGCATCAACGCCAACTTTCGCCCAACAAACGCGGGGGTAAAAGAAAACTCTGCAAGTAGATATAAAAATAACAAAAGATTTCTATTGACTTGCGGACCCCTCGGGGCAATTTTATTTTGAGTGTACCTTTTTAGGGTAAGTCAGCCTGCGACCACGGGAATCGAACGCGTCGAGTTTAGGATCAGTACGGACATACGAAGGTACTGGGTGGAGAGAGATCGGAACGGTTTTTATGTGAAGACAACAACAACAACAACAACAACAACAACAACAACAAACAACAACAACAACATACAATGTAGATGCATGAAATGATACACTGTGTTTACTTATGGTCCGCGCTGCCTACAAATAAATGGGAAAGGTAGCTATACCTTCTGCTGACACACGGGCGAGAGAGGCGACCATACACACTGCATTTAACACACAACCACATGTCAGTGATGAAACCCCAACCGCACGCCTCTATCGGAGGCACGTCAGGAGGCAATGATGAGATAATGTTCTCCCGTGCCCTTCTCACATTTAACGACATGCCATTCCACAACGAGGTAAATAAATATGTTCGAACATGCCCGCGTACATCACACACAAAAAATAAGTTGATGACGAATATACACACCCCGAGACGCGCTTGCTCCGCAACCACATAAGGGTGCCATAACAGAACACCCGACAAACCGAGTTCCCCTAATCTTCCGTCTACAACTTCCCAACATATAACTTACAGATAGATACTACACAAGATGGCTACCAAACTGCCTTGTTGAGCCTGTTACCCACAGTGGAGATATCGTTGTATGCTGTCTGGGAAACCGTAGACATACAGCAGGTAGCCTTTCGCTCACGCTATGGATTCATTCATTGCTAATCTATCTCAGACTTATTTCTATAGATAGAGATGGATTTGTTGTTGTGTGATATTGTTTGACAGTTTCGGACCCAAAAAAAAGCTGAAATAAGGAAATATATTTTGAGTTAAGCCATCGTTCTGAGGATCGTTCCTGACAGTCTCGCCAGAACCAGAAATAAGGAAAAAATATTTCGATTTAAGAGCCGAGCGCGGCTCGTTTTGTGGAAAATTTTGCCAAGAAAACTATTCAAGCAACTTTCTTCGAAACAACACATCCACACCAGCCACCACCACCACACCAGACCCACACGCACACACAGCAGTCTGCTACGAACATGTCCAGCACCCGCCCAAAGAGAAGACAATGCCCAGCGCAAAGGCCCTGGATCTGGCGCGCGACGAGGTTGCCAAGAGGGAGGCGGCACGGACAGCCGGTCGGGTGGGCTTTGCGGCTCTAGGCCAGCAGCACGCCCGAGACCTCGAGGCAGGGGGAGGAGAGGAGCAAGCGGCCGGGGGAGGCGGCGACGATGTCCAAGTCGTGGCAGCACCAGCAGCAAAGCAGGCTAGGGTTAGGACGAGCACGAAGTGGCCTCCTACTTACGACTTGGCGCTGGCAAGGGCGGGTGAGTGAGTCTTTCCCCGCGCAAGGGTATGCTCTTTTTTTCTAGAGAGAGGCGTTTGTTGGCTTGGATGTGTTCCCTCCCCAAACCCCACCCCCATACGCTCCGAACGCGACACAGCACTGCAGGAGCAGCCGGCCACAGCAGTGGTATACGTACTTGCTGTCTCCGTACTGGTGCGATTTCCTGTGCTGGAGTTAGTCGTTTCCTTTGCTGGGGTTGAGGGAGCGACCCATGTGCGCGCGCACCCATGCACGCTGTTTTTGAACTGTAAAAGAGACAGCCACTCCGAACCAGATTGTTGATCCTTGGCAACGAGGGTGCAACGAGTGCACAACATATACGAAAGATTCATTCGAATAGCAGCGGAGTAGGGTAGGAACACAAAGCTATATTCGGTGTTCGTAGGGGAGATACAAGTCTTGCTTGGCGAAGAAGGTGAGACTTTCTTGCACTGATTCCGACCTGGAAAAAATGCACGTCACATGTGGCATCATGTTGAAAATTTAAAAGCAGCGACGAGTTTTTTGGGCGTACGAAGCCGCTGCATCTCCCAGTAGATGCAGTCTACTTGCCAAGAATGTCACATGTCGCCTTTAGATGGAACCAGCAGGACAAAGGTGCGCACAAAATTGTAAGCGCAAGGTGTACTCGACTAGTACATTTTCGCTACACAACGGCACATAGCCCAGATATTATGGTGGGCGCGGATCCGCTGCTGCGTCCCACAGGTTAGGCAGTCTACCCGTGGCACATCATGTTGCATCATGTTATAAGGGGTTGCCCGCAGCGTTACTTATCCTGCATCCCGCTGTCGCCACAGTAGATGCAGTCTACCCGAAAGAATTTCGAAACAACTACTGCGAAGCACCGCGGACCCGGTGCAGTTGACAACAAGCGCAATAGCCATTCCGTGCGCTGCAAGACGGCCGGTGTTCACGGACTCGTTTACTGGCGAGACCTATGCTCCCTCCTCTACTCAAAATGCACATGTATCTGGTGTAAAAATGGAGCCGAAGCAAGTCCCCACTACGACATTCGAAGGCGCTCCCACCCTTCTTGTCCTCTACAGGTCTGCAGCACGAAGTGTGGAAAGTGAATGGGAGCGGGCGTTCGGTCGGCGAAAGGTGGGACGCCTGCTGGAAGACTCTCAACCGGGAGCCCTTGGTCAGGATGTTCAAGGAGAAGTCGTCTTCAATTTGCAAGCATCGCTACGACAAGATCGTTGACGACCAGAGCAAGAGCGATGGTAAAGCCCTGCGGGACTCCGGAGCCGGCACTGCTGAGAGTGGCTCGGAGGACGACGTAGAGAAGAATACCAAGGTCCAGCTGGTGAGGGGTCCAGAGCCAGTAAGCTATCTCTACCTTTTGTGACGGGCGCAAGCCTGAGTGTACACGATCATGGCACAGTCGAAACAAGACGGGCACGAAGAGCTGCACATGGAGAATCCACAATCCATAGAGTATCGTGAAACACCTGCGCTGTCCCGACCGAAGAAAATGCCTGCCGTCCTCACCAACGTTACACTTGCAGATAAGAGGGGTACGCACAGGGCTAGCCGTAAGCAACTGAAAATGCGCAGCATGACAAAAGAAAGACAGAAGTAGATAGACAGCACAAAAGCCCGAGTGCTACACGCCAGGCGACGCAAAACGTGCAGAGAGTTAGCTTGCTGAGACGGTCCTTCACCCACAAAATCAAAACATCACTCCCACTCTGTATTGTCTAGGGGCGTGACGTAGCAGTGTTGACACGGAAGTACAAAACAGACGATGCATATAGCTATCGCCGACGCTAGTGATGCACTTTGTAAGTCGTAGAGCTGACGAGATGCCGCGCCGCTGTTGCTTCTTGTCCGCGATGTGCCGCACAGGACAAAGTTCTGACCGCGATAGTGGACGCGAAGGCTGCCGCGAGGCATGACTCGGAGGAGACCAAGCAGAAGAAAGCCGACGAGGCGGCCTCGCACTCCGCGATGGGGATGTGGGCCATCAACCAGGGCAACGCCCGATGCGGGCCGGGCGCGAAGGCTACATCATTCGAAGAAGCTGTTGCCGCCGACAACATCGCGTTGGGTTCCCGCTCCGGTGCAGCGGCCGGTGGCCGTGCCAGCGGTCGGGTGAGTCCGGCCAGCAGCATCGGGGGGGCGAGGCCCGCGTCGGAGGCTTCGACGGTTGGCGCTGCCAGTGGTCGATCGAGCCCGACCATGAGTACGGGCGGGCTAGACGACGACATATCGCCCGCGGGGAGCGGGCCATCGAGGAAGGTTCCACCGCTTGGCGAATTGGTGAAGCACATGGGGTCGCTGAGCATTCCGACGCTTGCGCAAAGTGCCGGGGTCTCCACGGAGGAGGCGGACTACTTCCTCAACACGGGCTTCATGGCCGACGAAGTTCAGCCGGAAAGGGCCATGGCCATGATGACGGTACTACTCGACAAAAGGCATAGTCTCCAGCGCGGGGGAGACAGCGTCCAGGACTTCATGGATGATCTTGGTGAAGAGGATATGGCTGCCCGGGTTTGATACGTTTGACGAGTCGGTCATGTTTAAACTGCTCGAGCTCTACGGCGTGGAAATGATGGACTTCCGCAGCCTGCCGGAATCGAATTGGTTTCACAGCGGATGGCCCATGGAACGTGTTACGCCGGACAAGGTGCTTCAGGTTACGTAGCGGGTGGCGCGGTTGTTGGTGCTTGGCACCGGCGTGACGAAGTCCCGGCTGTCCGCCGCCGGTCAGACATCCATCCCCGGCTCTGCAACAGTGGGGGGTGCGCGCGCCATGTCAGGCATGGACCCTTCAGGGGCGGCGAGTGGGCCTTCGGGAAACCGTGGAAGGAAGCCCCGTGCCAAGACCAATAAGCTCGCCGAGGATGGGCTAGATAGGTAAGGCTGTTCGTCGACTCTGCCCATGTCTTGGTTCTGGCAACTCCTTCGTGTGGTAGACTCTGTGCATTATTGTTAGATTATTTTTGTGGACGTAACCTGAACAAGAGAAGTGTCATCGCAGCATTATTGTTGGCTACTCCATCAGGGAGGTGCCAGAGCTTACCCTACCCTGGTGCCTCTCTTGCGCCGTTGTGCCACGTGTCCCAGCTTCATGGAGCGACAGGTGGCTGACGCTCGGGCACTCGCCGATCAGAAACGTGAAGAGGACGAGAGGAGGCGGGCGGCGGAAGCTAAAGGAGAAGTAGGGAGGAGGCAAGAGCTCCTGAACATTATGGCCCACCAGAGGGCAATGCGGGAAGATGAAAGGAAACACGACAGACAAGAGAGTGAAGTGGAGAGGGCGGCTGCACGGGCAGAGCAAAAGGTAGATCGTGGTCACCAAATCAGGATGACCCAACTCCAGGTTGACCTGGCGAAGGCGAAGGGCAACAATAACTAGCTAGCTGGTTGGGGTTGCTGTTGCTGCAGTTGCTAGGGCATGCGTTCCATGTGTTTTTTTTTTTTTTTCAACAGCAGGCTCTTCAAAAAAATATCGTGGCGTCCGTTGCGCCTTGCGCGTTTTTTCTGGGGGGGCTTGCCTGTTCGGGGCAGGGCAAAATGGGAATGGGTTTTCGCCCTTGCTGCTGCTGCAGTTGCTAGGGCATGCGTTCCATGTGTTTTTGTTTTTTTCAATAGCAGGGTCTTCAAAAAATATCGTGGCGTCCGTTGCGCCTTGCGCGTTTTTTTTCGGGGGGCCTGCCTGTTCGAGGTAGGGAAAAATGGGAATGGGTTTTCGCCCTTGCTGCTGCTGCAGTTGCTAGGGCATGCGTTGCATGTGTTTTTGTTTTTTTCAACAGCCGGCTCTTCGAAAGAATATCGTGGCATCCGTTGCGCCTTGCGCGTTTTTTTCGGGGGAGGCTTGCCTGTTCGGGGCAGGGAAAAATGGGATTGGGTTTTCGCCCTTGCTGCTGCTGCAGTTGCTAGGGCATGCGTTGCATGTGTTTTTGTTTTTTTCAACAGCAGGCTCTTCAAAAAAATATCGTGGCGTCCGTTGCGCCTTTCGCGTTTTTTTTCGGGGGAGGCTTGCCTGTTCGGGGCAGGGAAAAATGGGATTGGGTTTTCGCCCTTGCTGCTGCTGCAGTTGCTAGGGCATGCGTTGCAT